GGAGCTGCTCCCAAGGGAACAAAGGGACTTAATTCCCAAACCTGCTCTCGAACCTAAAGTCTTTCCAAAAAGAAAGAAATGGGAATTAAGTCCCTTTGTTCCCTTGGGAGCAGCTCCATCCCACAAACCTGTTCTCGTTCCTAAAGTCTTTCCAGAAGGAAAAAAAATGGGAATTAAGTCCCTTTATTCCCTTGGGAGTTGCTGCTTTGACGTACCACGATTCCCTTTTCCAGCTGTTTTCCCGCCCACAGTGATTATTTTTCCCGTATAATTTAGGAACGATGTGTTTTTTCCGGATGGTTCCAAACTCTTCAGCTCCCCCGGATGGTCTCTGGAATTCCAATCCCTCCACTACTTCCTGGGAATTCCGGAAGCTTCCCAGCCTGGCTGGGGGCTCTGCAGGCATCCCAAGCCCTCAGAATTCCCGGGAAAGCTCCCTCACCAAGGAACCATGGAAATGGGGGATGTTTCCTGGTGTTCCTCAGGGAAATCCTCATTTCTGGGAAGGCCCAATCCCTCCCTTCCGGGTGACGCCGTTTGGCTCCATTGGGAAAATCCCGTTTCTTCCTTCAGGGAATGTTTTTCTCTTCCAGAAGCGTCTCGATCCAGGAGGAGAGGCTGGAAGTGTCCCCCCGGGAATGGCACTTGGCTCGTTGCCAGCGGTTACAAAAATCAGATTTTGTTTTCTTTTAAGGAAAAAAAGCTTTTCCTGCCAGGGGAATAAAAGTCCCCAAATCTCCCTCCTCCAATGCCTGGGATATTGTGGATAAAGGGAATTCTACCAGAGCAACGGGATGACCCCAAACCCAGGGAAATCTGAGCTCGGTGTGGAAAAGTTTTAATAACCCCTTTTTACTATTATATATTATATTATATATTATATATTAAATATTATATATGCATAATATATAATATGTATTATATACTATATACAATAATATATATTATTGTATATTATATATTAATATATATAATATAGAATAATATATTATTAGTATGTATAATATATAGTATATTATATAAAAATATATTATAATATATAATATTATTATATACTATTATATTTATTATATTATATACTGTTATATATAATATATATTATAATATATAATAACATATAATATATATACAATATATAATATTATATATAATATATAATATAATATATATTATATATAGCAAATATATAAATAATACATAAATATACAAATAAATAAAAATATATAAATATGTAAATATATAAATATATAAATATATAAATTATATATAACATACATTTTATATATTATAATATATAATATATATAATATATGATAATATATAATATTATTATATATACCATTATGGACTATGATATATAATGTATATTGTTATATATAATATATTATATATAATAATATTATATATTCTCTAATATTATATATTATAATATATTTTATGTATTATATATAGTTATATATAATATATAATAATATATAAAACATAATAAATTTTATAATAAAATATATAATATATATTATATAATATATAATATATATAATATATATAATATATAATATATTATATATTATATATTTATATATGTTATGTATAATATATATATTAAATATATATAATAAAACATAATACACAATATAATATATAAAATAATAAAATATTTTATATAATATATAATATTATATAATATATAATATTATTATATATAATTATATTATATATAATAATATGCAATATTATATATTATATATAATATTATTATGTATTTTAATATATATTACATATAATAGCATATATTATCATATATATAATATATATAATTATATATTTAATAACTCCTTTGCCACTGGAGCTGCTGTGACCCTTCCCAACATTCCCAATGGAATATTGTCCCATGTGGGACAGGGGTGTCCCCCTGAGCTGTGACCACGTGGCCACCGAAACTTTGCATCCCTCTGTTTGGATTTCCAAAATCCTCCGCTCCAAAAAACTTCCAGGACTCGAGGCTGGAATTTTGAACCGATCCTCGAGTTTTTGAATCCTGATTTTTTTTCCCTCGTCACACATTTTTTTGGGATGGATCCTCTTCTCCTGCCCAGGGAAAATCATCAGGGAAAGAGGAGGAGGAGGAGGGACTTCCCAAAGTCAGGATCAGGCTGAAATCAAGATATTCCCACTTTTCTTTGGGGTCTTTCCCAAGATTTCCTTTTCCCAGGCGAACCAACGGGAATTCCGCAGCGTTAACACACTTTTATTTTCCAAAAATACACTCCGGGTTTTTTTTTTCCCACCTTCCAATCCCATGGGATGAAGTCGGGAGCCTTTGGACATCCCCCCTTCCCTCAGCCACCAGGGGGGTGTTTCCCTGCCCTCATCCCGCTGGATTTCCTCTTCAGAATTCCCGTTTTCCCAACACCTCTTGCCTGTTCCCCTCCAAACGTTTGTCCTGCTCGTCCGAGATGTCCCGGAGAAACTTCTCCCAGCTCCGTTTCCCTGGGATTTGAACCAGGGAATTCCAGCTGCTCAGCTCCCTCTGCCTGGCGTTGGGAAGAGAGGGAAGAGGAAAGGAAGGGAATGTCAGAATCCCTCTTGGAATTCCCAAGCTGGCTCAGGACCCCCCGGGATTGCCTGTGCCAGGTCGTGTCCCAGCACATCCAACATCCAGAAGGAAAACATGGATGAGAGGATCCCGATCCCGGCACCACTTGGAGAAACGACCCCACGGATTGTTGGGATTGGATGAATCCCACTCCATGTGGGATTGGATGAATCCCACTCCATCACCAGTGCTGGAGGCACCTCCAGCTGCTTCCTGATCCCACAGTGTCTCCCGGTGTCATTCCCTGGGATAAAACCCCAGGAAGAGGTTCATTCCTTCCCTGGTGCCGGATTGAAAGCACTGGGAATGGTTTCCATGGAATGATCCCAAGCCTTGGGCTGGATGGATCCCAAGCCTCCGGTCACCGGGACAGGAAATCCCTAATTCCCAACCGGTACAGCCCTTCCCAGAGAGCTCCTGAGCTTTCCAGGGCGACCTGGAATATTTTCCCTGCCTTTATTCCTTCCGGATCGGGAATGTTTGGCCACCCAGAGGCCCTTTTTGCACCTCGGGAAGATTCCAGGGGGATGAGAACATTCCCGGGATGTTGATTTTTAGGATTAAGAGGCGCCCGCCCTAAAAACCTACTCAAAGAGTTCCTGGAAAGCTCCAAAATGGATTTTCGGGAATTTCTGGAATTGCAGAAATTCGGGAATTTCTGGAATTGTAGAAATTCAGGAATTCCTGGAATTGTAGGTCTCCATCTCTGATTTATTTCTCTTTTTTAATTGGTCTCCAAACCCAGAGCAGATGAACCTTCCGGGGGGGAATTTTTTTTGGAATGTATTCTGGAAAACGAATGGGTTTTTTTTCCCCGGATTCTGATTCCCAGAGTTGTCTCCAGGCCCAGGAGGAAAATCTTTCTAGGAAGGCTGGTTTCAACCAGCAAAGCTTGGCAGGGGAGAATCTGATTCGCTGTCAGGGCCCTTTTCTCCTGGAGACGAGGAAAATCCACGCAAATCCCGGATATCCGGCAACGGAAGCCCAGCCGCGCTTCCGGGAGGGAAGTTTTTTTCCGTGGAAAGCTTGGATTAGGTGGGAGCCCAAGGCTGAGGCTGCTCACAAGGTGGTCTGGAGTAGGTTTGGAGCCCTTGGTGGCTGGAGATGCCAAGGAGGTGGTGGGATGGAGCATTCCAGAGGGCACCGTTCCTGGAATTCCTGCCCTTGGAAAGCACAACCCGTCCCAGCTGGACCCTCCTCGTCACCCACAGGGCCACCTGTGGAAGTGGCCTGAGGGAGGGGACATCCAGGAGCTCCTGGAA